GTGCTTGTATAAATAAATAAACAAATAAATCTTTAAAAAAAAAAAATAAAGCCTCCTGTACCTGTCAGACCCTTCCCCCACCCTTTAAAAAAAATCCACAACATTCTTCGAAGAAACTGAACAAAAAATACTGAAATGTCTATGGACCCATAAATGCCTCTCAAGAACAAACTTAAGAAAATGGGAGAGAAATGGAGGCATCACATTACCTGACTTTACTTCAAATAGTACAGAACTGGGAAAAAATTGACATATGGATCAATGCAGTAGAATCAAAAGACAAAACATAAATCCATGTATATATCAATGCTTAATTTATGGTAAATCGGGCATGACTACTCAATGGGGAAAGAAAAGTCTTTTTAATAAATGGTGTTGGGACAACTAGATGGTGCATGAAAAAGACAGAAGCTGGATCACTCTCTCTGTTGGATCCCCATGCACAAACATAAATTCCAAGTGGACTGAAGATTTAGATATAAGACCTGCAACAATAAAATACATAGAAGAAAACACTGGTGATGTTCCATGACATCCATGATAAAGATATTTTTGGATACTTGACCCTTATGGCTAAGGAAATAACAGCAAAAATAAACAATTAGGATTACCTCAAATTATAAGGTAAAGCCACCGAGGAAAAAAAGAGTATGGCGGTTCCTCTACAATTTGAAAATAGAACTACCATGAGTCAGTAATCCCATTTCTGGGTATTTATCAAATAATGTGAAAACACTAATTCAAAAAGATATATGCACCCCGGGCCTCCCCGGTGGTGCAGCGGTTGAGCGCTGGGTTGCGAAGCTGCCCGCAGTCTCTGCGGCGCCGGTTCGATCCCTGACTGCTCCCCTGCCATGGGAGGAGGGTCCCACATGGCGCGCAGACCTCTCCTGCCACTCGCTGCTCCCCTCAGCAGTGTACTTCGGTCCTTCTGCCTGCTCTGCTCTCTGCTCTGGCTCTGGTGAATTCTCTCACCCTCCCGCGCTTCTGCCTGTACCCAGTGCTTGTATAAACAAAAACAAACAAACAAATAAATAAATAAATGAATAAAATACGTGCCTCTTTAAAAAAAAAAAAAAAGATAAAAAAAAGATATATGCACCCCTACATGCACTGCAGCACTATTCACTAAACATGGAAACGACCCAAGTGACCAAGGACTGACCCATGGATTAAGATGTGATAGAGATAAACAAGCATGTACAGCCATAGCAAGAGATGAAACATTGCCATTTATGACAACACGGCTGGAACTTGAGGGGATCATGCCAATTGAAATAACTCAGAGGGAGAAAGGCAAACACTGGGCCTCCCCAGTGGTGCAGCGGTTGAGCGCTGGGTTGCGAAGCTGCCCGCAGCCTCTGCAGAGCTGGTTCAATCCCCCGTCGCAGGGCGAGGGTCCCACATGGTGCGCAGACCTCTCCTGCTGCCCGCTGCTCCCCTCAGCAGTGTACTTCGGTCCTTCTGCCTGCTCTGCTCCCGGTTCTGGCTCTGGTGAATCCTCTCACCCTCCCGTGCTTCTGACTGTACCCAGTGCTTGCATAATAAATAAATAAATAAATCTTAAAAAAAAAAAAAAGAAAGGCAAACACTGTATGATTTTCACTCACTGGAGGAATATAAAGAAAAAAAAGTAATTCAACAAGCGAAACCAAAAAAGAAGCCCTTAGACTCTGACAACAGAATTATGGTTAGAAAGGAGGGGCGGTAAGTGCAGGCAGAGGTGTTTCAAGCAAAGGTGAAGGACTCGAACCAGTTTGTAAGTCCTCACCCGAGTAGTTAAGAACACAGAACAAGCCCTAAAACCAGACACACATAGGGAAAAACAAACAAACAAACAAACAATAAGAAAAGAGTTACACGGGGAGTGAGAAAAAGTAAAGCTAAAGAAGAAGAAAATTTATGGGCCAGCATGTGGCAAGACAAATATCAAAATGAGGAATATGAATCTAAAGCCATGCTCTAAATAACCTGGGAATACCACACAGAGGATAAGCAGAACTGCAAGAACTCAGAGAGGTAGCTGCGAGTGGCACTGGCTGCTTAAATTTTGATCACATGGCTCAGTTAGGGGAAAATTCTGATCAAAACGTGAGACTTGTCAGAGAAACAGACCAAAAATGAAATCATTTATGCTAAGCCCCATCAAAACATAACACCTAATCTAACTACAGTTTCGGTCTCTCCTCAAAGCAAAATTTTACCCCAATCAATCAGGCGTTTCCTGTTCAGCACTAGTGAAGTGTCATCTGCACGATGACACTCCTCTGCCTTTCCTTAAGGGAAGGTGGCTTCACTTGAAGCCTTCTTTATTTTTAACAACTTTTTTTTTTTCATAAGGTGACATTGGTTTACAATATGGTATAGGATTTAGAGCTACAAGTTCACACCTCTTCCACATCATACCCACCACCAAGATGCCCACAGTCCTCTACCATAGACCATGTGCCCCTCTTTCTTTTCTTTTGCTAACAACATTGTCCCACTCTCTGACTAGAAAAACTTGCCACTTTGCACAATTCCTTAGAGCACCTTTCTACTTCCTAGCCGGGATGTTCACCCCAATTCATGAATCATTGAATAAACCAACAAGCTCTTCAAATTTAGCAGATAAATGTTTACCTCCCTACACAAAATTATTTTCTAATTTGTGTAAATGGTAACATTTGATATTTTCTGTGATTTTGCCTTTCACCCTATAAATTATGCCCCTGGAATTCATCCATGATACTGTATAGCCATATTTTCACTTCTGTATCATGTTCTATTGAGGGACTATCCAAATATGTATCATTTTTATGCTGATACATTTGTTTCCTGCTTCGTTTGCTATTGAACATGTTATAAAGCTTTGCACATATATTTTGGTAAAAATGTTAAAAAATTTTCAGAGCTACTTGGGAATTGCTGGACAAGAGGCATGCATGGCTTTGAATTTTAATAGTTGATGTCAAATTGTTTCCCAGAGTGGTTCTGGTAATTTGTACTAGCAATGTGTAAGTGTTCTTTCATTGTTTCACATTCTTACCAACACTTGTAATTGTGGTACTTTTAATTTTGCCAATTGTATCCAGGGAATGGTATCTATTATTTGAATTCATATGTCCTGATTACCAGTGAGGTTAGCATTTCTTCCTGTGTGTGGATTTGCTTTTCTGTGAAGGGCCTAGCCTACTTAAGTTTTGGGCCCTTTTTTCTACCGCCTTGCCTTTTGAATTTGTAAGATTTTTTTTCCCCTTAGATAACTGGTTCACAATTGGAGAAAAACTTGGCCTTTAGGAAGCATTTTGCAATGTCTGGAGACATTTTTGATGGTCACAAGTGGGTAGGGAAGAGGGAATGGCATCTAGTAAGTAGAGGCCAGGGAGATGATAAAACATCCTACAATAGGAAGGACAGACCCCACAACAAAGAATTATTATCTGGCCTAACATGTTAATAGTGCCAAGGTTGAGGAACTTTGCTCTAGATATTAGTATGTTATCAGTTGTGGGTGTTGCAAATATTTTTCTTCCAGTTTGTGAATATTTTCCTTCTTCTCATGGTGCATTCTGCTGAATAGACATTCTTAATCTTAATATAATTGAAGTTATAAACCTTCTGCATTTATGAATTGTTTTTTGTGTCAAATTTCAGAGCACTCCCCTATCCCTAACAGATTCTTTTCAATAGAGATTTTAAGTTTTAATATTTTCTTTTCAACATTTAAGTCTTTAATCCAAATAAAACTGATTTATGATGCAGAGTCAGTATTCCAAAAGAATTTTTATATGAGAAACTGAGCACCTATGTTAAAAGTCCATTGTAACCACACTCATCTACAGTGCTGACCTGTCAAAAATCAAGTCTGCAGAAGAAGGCTGTTTTCTAGTTCTCTACTATTTGATCCCAAGTGTTTTTGATTTTCATGAATTCTAAAGCTATTCTGAAGAATTTTTGAAAACAGATTTTAAGCTATTTAGTGTCTATATTTTCTATAGAAACAAAAAGGAGACATGAGGTTGCTATTTTGAATGCCAAAACCAAATACTTGTACAATGAAAATGAATGCACTGACTTTACTGAAATTGCTTCAAGTCTCCACAAACTACATTGGCCTACTGTATATATTTTATGAGGTTTGTTAACCCACTTATTTCTCAACTAGCAAAGAGAGAGCCTTTGCTGAAATATTTTCTTAACACCTAGCATTTAACATACATCATTTAATTCTTTAATCTAGGGGTTAAAACAGAAATACTCATATTCCTTCCCCTGACAGCTAAGCTATTTTTCCTGACTGCTGAGAAGCTGGCCCTCCACAACATTTCTGAGCAGATAATTCCTGGAAAGAAATCCGAAATTGGAAGAACAGTCACACCTGTCAGTTTCTGCCTTCAGCTTTCAAACCAGCAGCAAAATCTATTTACAGAGTGCAGCAGAGGAGATATCTAGGCATACATTTTCTTTCCCCTTTCCTTCTAACACTTTCCCTTCATTCTTACTTATCGCATACAAGTATTCAATAATAATGAAATTTTACAATACGAACTATATTTTGGGCTTGAGGTAAATCAGAAGCAGAGACATAAATTCATTGACTCTGGAAATAAGTTAGCATTGGGACAAAATTTTTCCCAAGAAAGGAAAAAAAATTCAATACTTTTCTTTGGGGAAATACTCTGGAAATGTCTCCCTTTTTAAACATGCCAATTATTTGATATTGCCCTTTATTAGAATTTTTTTGTTTTCTTGACTACTCTTGAAATAATTATAAACTAATAATTATTCTGAAGTTTTCATGTATAGGTTTTTTAAGGATTTTTTTTTTTTAGCACATTTATTTTACGAAGGGAAGATCCTAATGAAACCAACACCTTGAAACAGTTGCACGTAAAATATTCGTGATAGAGGGCCTCCCCTGGTGGCGCAGCGGTTAAGCGCTGGGCTGTGAGGCTGCCGGCAGCCCCTGCAGCACCAATTCGTTCCGCAGCAGGCAAGGGTCCCACAAAAAAAAAAAAAAAAATTGTGATAGATTAAATACTGTAATGGGGAGGGGGAGGGAAGGCTGTATGGAGGTTTGTTCATTGAATTTGCAGTTAATTCCTGTCCAAAATGATGGAATTTTAATTTTTTATTCTACTTTTTCATAGATCACAGTACAGGTGACATCATTAAAGACATATTTCTCCACTAATTTCCCATCTTCTAGTTTTCTCGTTATTGTGCTTTCATTCCCTTCCCATTTCTGCCTTTGAATCAAAGTGCCGTTTATAAAAATGCAGACAGTCTGAGTTCTTCTGCCATCCGCTGTATTTTCTTCAAAACTCTCCCCCAGTTTACATGAAAACTGTGCTGTCCTCAAAGAATTCTCGGATTTTATGGTGAGGGTTTTACCATCAAAATCGATGATACAGTCTGGTCTGGCCAAATCTTGCATTCTTCGCAGAGCCATCCCCACTCCTAGTTTCTTCATAAATTCATCACAACCGCTGCTGCTCACCAAGCGCCATCTTCCTACCAGCTCCTGAATGGTAGCCATGGTGGGCACATGCCGGAGGGGGTGAGAAGAGAACAGTCTGGCGTGCCTTAAGAAAATGTTATGAATAAGGGTTGTAGGTTTCCATCCACCCGTACACAATGAAACAAGCCATTTCCTACCATGAATGTGCAAAACCAGGAGTGACTCCAGAGAGAGGGTAAAGGCACAGACATAGAGCTTTTTAGCAACGCAGAAGGATGCGGTGTTGCAAATAAACCAGACCAAGAAATCACTTATTTTACAATGATTCCCAGGTTGAGGCCAGGCACACGTTTGGATTACTCACAGTGGGTGAGGGGAGCAAAACCACAAACAATCAAAAGTCCCCCAAACTGAGACATAAATACACAGTCTGTTGAAAGTGGAAGATTCTGATCACTGCCAACTTACCTGCCAGGGAGAGGGGCCTCTTCTATCGCTGGAGGACGGGAAGAGGAGCAGTCAAGATCCTAATTCCCGAGAGAAATTGCGTGTCCCACCGGGACTGCACTCGATCTGTCTCTGTTTCCTTCTGCCACCAGCTGGGGTCGCGTCAAACCTGAAGGGCCTGCAGGAGAAACATCACAATCACTGGGCAGCAGGGCCAGGAGCACGGGAAAGCCGCCTGCCTACGCAGAACACTCACCGAAGGGGTTGTCCAAGGGCTACCGCAGGGCCATGGTACAAGCAGGACCTCCGAGAGGCCCCCCCACGCCCAGCCTCCATGTATCTTTGGAACAGCCCAAAGGGTGCCAAGTGGACTTGTGACACACGTGCATGTGTCCCACGTGGCATCACATGCGTGTCACACATACTATCTTATAGTTAACATGTCCACAGAATCCCTGAAACTACAACCCGGGGGGGCGGGGATGGGGAAGGGGGCTGTCTCTTAAAATGTATTCTGGCGCAAACTGAGCAAAATATACCAAATTTGTGTTATTACGTATACTCAAAAAAACCTGCAATGGAACAACTTCCAGCTCTCTGCTGCTGCTGCCCCTGCCCCGTCCGCGTTAGGAGTCTCACGCTGGACATCAAGGAACACAGGCTCAGGTCCCGTGGGCTCAGTTTAGGCAGACAATATTTTTTTAAAGATTTATTTCTTTATGCACACAAGACCCGGGGTACAGGCCAGATATGCGGGAGGGTGAGAGGACTCACCAGAGACAGTGGGGGGCAGAACAGGCAGACTGACGGGGAGCAGCGGGCGAGACAGGAAAGGTCTGCCGCGCCATGTGGGTAGCTCCCTGGCGGGCCGGGACTCGAACCCGCGCTGCCAAGGCTGCGGACAGCCTCACAGCGCTGCGCTCAACCGCCTGCGCCACCGGCGAGGCCCACGAGGAGCTACTTTTCATGTGGCCGGACTTGGAAATAAATGACCAGCCAGGCGGAGGGGGAGGGGGAACTGTTAGGCGGCACCGAGCCTGGGCCCCAGCCCGGAGCGGCTGCAGCCCGTCTGTGAGGCGGCGCGTCCCACAATGAGTAGGAGCCGGGGGCCCTGGACGGGCCAGACGCCGGTGCGGGGGAAGCAGCCATTTCCTGGGGGCCAACCGCCCGGAGCGAGGCCGGGGTCACGTGGCCGGCGCCGGGTCAGGCCGGGCGTGCGCGGGAGCACGCAGAGAGGCGCGACCCCGAGTCGCGCGCCTTGCGTGCGCGCGCAGGCCGGGGGCGGGGCGTGTGGGCTGAGCCTCCGGCGCGCGCCGGGCGGAGGCGGGGCCCGAGCGTGGGGAGTGGGGAGGGGGAGGGCGCGGGCGGGGGCGGGGCCTGCTCCTGCGAGGCCGGGCTGGCGGCGGCGGCGGGAGGCGGGTGACCCGCGGAGGGGCGCCTCGGCCATGACTGCGGAGCTGCAGCAGGACGACGCGGCTGGCGCGGCCGACCGCCACGGCTCGGTGGGCCCCGCGGCGGCGTTCGGGGGCCGGGGGCGGGCTCCGGGCGCCGGGGGTGGGGGGGCGGACCCGGGCGGGCCGGCCTGCGGGGCTGCGGGCTTGGGGCGCGGGGAGGGGGGGGGGCTGCGGGAGGGGGGCTGCGGGGGGCCCCGGGCTGGGCGGGGGCGCGGGGGAGCCTGCAGTCCGCGGGGTTCGGCTCGCGGACCCCGAGCCCTGTCCCTGGCCCGTGGGCGAGCTGAACTTCGAGGGGGACCGGGTGTTTTCGAAAACCAAATCTGGAGGCTGATCGTGGGGGTGCCCTGCGTCGGGCATCTCCAAGGGGAGCCCTGCTGGAGCCCAACCCGGGGGAGAAACTTCGGGGAAGGGGCACCTTCAGTGGTTCTGTTGGTTTGTTTTTATGTTGCGATTCGGTTTATGGCAATTTGGCTTTAGACAGTCTGAAGTTAGGAACTCAAAGCCAGGATTTATCACACCTGGTGAAAGACCAGGGATCCTAGTGATCATTTCCGATTTCCCCTTATTCCACCATCTCCACCCCCTGCTTTTTGTTTATTTATTTGTTTTTTTAAACAGCGCCCCCCTCAAAACCCAGTTACTACTTTCATCACTGTAGATTTTTAAGGAGGGAGGAACTGAGGGGTGATTGAAGATGTGCTGATCATGGTTTCCTATTCGCAGGAAGGAGATTGAAATCAATACAAAGGTTTCTGGACGAGGATGGTGAGAGTAAATGAATATAGTTTGGGGGGAAATCAAAAGAAACTTGGGAAGAGGGCACTTCGAGAATGTCTGCTAATGTTCCCTTGGAATGTTAAAACTTAGCTTTACCTCCTGACTCCTCAAGGACTGCCCTTTTTCAAGACAGAATGGAAAATCTGTGCCAGCTATTCAAATGCAGGTTTTGGAATCATTTCCAAATGAATCACAAAATGTTCACAATACAAAACATCTCCCTGTGAGAAAGCTTTGATACCTTTTTATTCTTTTCTTGCACTCAGGAGAGAAGTTGTGGGTAAGGTGAACCTCTTCCTTTTTAAACTCCTGCAGTAAAACATATCTGGACTCCAAAATGAAAGTAGGTGGCTGGTATTTCCTATGCTGGTTTCTAATGGAAATCTTGTTAGATGTTGACAAAATGCCAAGTGGAATCTGAGCCAGGATTTTCTGTTTGGTTTCAGAGATCAGTTTTATTTGTTTTTAGGACAGTGACTTAAAAACAGGTGGGAAAATCTTCATTGTTGATTTAGAGAAGAGTCTATTTTAAGGGAGAGCAAGTCATATTTAAATTTGTTGGGACTGTCAGTTGACATCATGTGCCTGTTAATCAATGGCATCTTCATTTACCTCTACCACAGTTTGAGTGAGCAGTGACCACTGTGTCAGCACTGTCTCATTTGAGAGTTAGTATGTGAGGACTCTGATGAGCTCTTGTATATGTCATAGCTATTTCTGGAAAGCTTGGAACTGGGTGGCTGGCTGGAGTACCCTAATTCCTGACCACCTGCAGAGTGATGACATTTACTGTTCTTCCCAGTGATTTGACCCATACAGACAGATGATAAGCTTGGAATGCTTGATAATGTTTGCCCTTTCTGTGGTTTTGCTAATGTAAAATGTTTGAAGTTAGCTGGATAGGTTGAAGGAATCTCACAGGGCGGAAAGTACCATTCGCAGCTCGGAAGAAGGAATTTAATAACTTCTTCCTCATCTTGATAAGTTTGATGTTAGGAATTTAATGGACCCTAATATGAATTCTCTGAAGCATTCTACATTTCCTGTAAAAATCTTTAGTTGTTCTGGTCGAGCTCTCCTCTCCTGACTCAGAAGCTATTTAAAACATAGAATCGGCCTCTTCCCTCATTGGTCACTTGTACATGGAACAGACAGAACCCTTAATAGCCTCCCAAGAATTTTAGTGAGAGAAAAATCTCGTACTCTTGAAATATGTTCTCAGTGTGTACTTGAATCTAAAAGAAGACACTCTGTGATTTTCCTAAATCCCCAGACTGCAGACTGATCATAGAGTATCTAAAGAGATTACTATAGACAGTTTCTTGAGTTTTAATCAATTCTTGACTTAGATAAGACTTAGATAATACCCAGTAGCAGTGTTTTTGTGGGATAAACAAGTGGAGGTCAGGTTGGCGCTTATAAACCTGTCATCCTTGGCAGCTGTACTAAGGGTTATCACACATTTTTATGCTAACTGAAGCCCTGTGAAAACCTGCCAGTTTCAGTGAAAATTTAAAATCCTTTTTGCTTTCTTTTGATTTATAGGCTCTTCATTCCCTTTTACCTGTCTCATTAATTGTGACTTTTGGAACATCAGTAAGTCAGTGCTTGGTTGACTTCCACAGCGCTCATATCTTCCTTAGCTATAGTTACTGTTCACACAAAGAGTACATTTATAAGACATTGAAAGTGTCTCACTAGGCAACATCATTCCATGTGTTTTATTTCGTTGAAGACATTTAAAACAATAGCAAGTGAAGTAGCTATTTTCCAGGGAAAATAGTAATTCTAATAATGGTAGTAGCTTGCCTTAATTGAGCATGTACTATATAGCAGACCCTGTGTTCAAATCTTAACACATACAATCTCAGAACTTTTGACAGCTCTGTGGTGTTTTCTTATGAGAAGGCTTGTACTTGTTAAATAATTTGCCCAAGGTCACCCAGCTAATAAATGGTGTAGCCAGGATGCAGCTCAGACAATTCTGACTCCAAGAACCATAGATATCCCTCATCCTAGTCAATGAACCCATTGTCTTGGGTCAAAACCTTTCTGTTATTCTCTAAAATGCTCCTCCTGATGTTATAAACTTTCAATTTGCCCTGCCCTCTTGCTAAACAGATAACCTTTTCTCCTTGACGTAGCTTGTTAATGTCTGAAAAGAGCTCTCTGTCTCATATTCTCGGCCCCTGCCCCCCCTTCAGTATTTCTTTTCTCTTAGTGAGACAGGTACCTTCCCATTTCCCTTCATTTCTTAGAGATGAATGTAGATTAGTGGTGACTGGAGACCTTTTTGATTGTGACTACTTCAGGAGGATGCTAGGCAAGGATGAGGCAAGGATGCTGTTGAGCATCCTACAAGATAATCCTCCTGAGGCCTCCCTGGTGGCCGAGGGGTTAAGTCTCAGAGCTATCATTGCTATAGCCTGAGTTCCATCCCTGTCCAGGGAGCTGACCCACATAGGGTGCAGCAGACCTCTCCTGCCTTGCCCGCTGCTCCCCTTGACAGTGTATTTCACTGCCTGTATTTCACTGTCCTGCTCCCCATTCTGTCTCTGGTGAATCCTCTCACACCTCTGGCCTACACCCCAGTTCTATGCATAAATAAATAAATAAATCTTAAAAACACACGCGCACACACACAAAAAAACCAAAGTTGGCTGGTCCAGAATGTCAGTAATGAGTTTGAGAAACCCTGACATCTTCTTCATCCTAGCCTAACCCTCAAATATCTTCACCATCATCTCTGCTGAGAGTCCACATACGACCCATAGATCAGCAGCATCTTCATCACCTAAGAGCTTGTAGAAACTTGGGTGTGTTGGATCCAATTTGGACTGTCTCTCAGCTAAGTGTGTACCTCCTTTCCCAACTCTGTGTAGCATGACCTCATACTGGTAGCTTGAAATGTGCACCAGGGGAGAATTTCTACCAAGCAAGTAAGCAAGCAGTATAAATCTGCACACTGATTTTTGGGCCTCTGCCTTAAACCTGTTGAATCAGAATCTTTCTTTTCACAAACTCTCAGGTGCTAAATACTGAGAAACCCTGTCCCACTCCACAGAAGTCCATCTTCCATCCAGCCATGCATGTGTCCCTAGTCTTCAACTGGAGAAATAGCAACCCTGTTCATGTCTTTTTGTTTTGCTTTTGGAACCAAGTTTTTGAATCCTCTGTTTCATTTCTGTTTTCCCAATTGTAGTGTAACCTCAACTCAATGTAGGGCATTTGGAAAGTGCAGACCCAGGTGGATTAACCCTTGGCAGAAAGGAGGCAGAATCCCCAGGCAGAAGCACATTGGTTACCAGATTCCACCACTGAACCTGAGTTTGCATCAGCAGCTCTGCAAAAGCCGGTTCAGGGGATGGCTTAGGGGTCAGTCAAGGCTTCTGTGAGAAGAGAACTGATGACCCAAAGCACCTCTGCTAGAGGCTAGTGGCAGCAGGAGGTTAGATTCTAGGCACTGAGTGGTTTTAATGTGCTGAGCATTGCCTGGGCTACCAACGAGAGCTTTTGGTATTTGTCACTAGCAAATGAAACGATCTCAGTGGCCTTTTCAGTAAGTCCTTTTTACCTTGCATCCTTGGTTATTCTAGTACTCGTTCAAGTCCCAGTTTCATGTGATGATTCTTCTTTGCCACTTTTTTATTCATATTTATTTTGGCCTTTGATTTTACTGCTGCTTTTATTGCTGACTGTTTGTGGTATTTCCTAAAAACTTCCAGTGCATATTTACTTATCATTTGTTATACTCTGATCATCCACAGAAGTACAATAGTACAGGCCCTCACTTCTGAATTGGCCACATAATTTTTATCACTTTCTAGCTACAATTAGCCCTGGAAAAGATATATGAACATATGTAATACAGCTGCCTTCAGCTTGGAAATGCAGTAACAGGTTTAGGGAGTTGTTGTGCTAGTGACCACACAGTCTGAGGCAGAGCCCTGGCTTCAGATTTCAGTACTGTTAGTGGCCCTGTATAGCTGTCTTACTTCCTGAGCTTACTTCCTTTGGATCCTGTATTGTTCTGGTTCATCTGCCTCTCTCTTAGGGCTTAACCTTTTTGCTTTCTTATCTTTTAAACTTCCTTTTTTTACTGCTTCCAAATCTGCACCTGTAATCCTGAATTGGAAATGACTTCTACTCTGCTATTTCCAAGTGCATTTTGAGCAAGTCTACTTGAATGTCACCCACTTTGGCTATAAACATTTGTCGCATGTCTGCTTTTCCTACAGTTATTATCCTAGGCACAGGATTATATATTTGTAATAATAGCACCAGCCATATGCCCCTTACTGCCCCAAAATGAAATTATAAATAGCAACCTGGGACTTCAAACCATTGTGACTTTTTCCCCACTGCAATGCATGCTTTTCTTAAAATCAAACTTTTTGACTCCCACTTGACAATTTAGGATGCATATATTCTCATGGAGTCCATATAGTAAACCCTGAGAAGTAAAATTCAGTGTGACTAGGAAGTAGAATTTGTAAAGTTAGATAGCTAGTAAGTCATGAAAACAAAACTATAGTGCAGATGATCTTCTCCTAGGAGATCACTATTTTCACTAACCTCAGTGAGTATGAGTGGAAAGCCTGGTCACAATATTTTACATCTGTATAACATTTTTTTTTTCATTTTATAAATACCTCTAATGTGCATTACTTCATTTGTTGCACCAGTTCTGTTAAATTTTATGGTATACTTTGTTTTCCAGATGTGGAAATGAATGCTTCAGAAATGAGATTTGCCCAGAGGCTAACGTGTGGTGGAATCTGGGCTATATTACACTATTTCCATTCTCTGGGCTTTTGACATGAAAAGGGAGCTCAAAAGGCCAGACACACAAAACCAGAGTAAAGACCTGCATGAGCAGGTGCAAGCAGCATGCTGGGTGATGGCTCATCAGCAATTTAAACTCGAGGTGTCCTAAGCAAGCATTTCCTTTTTCCAATCTTCCTGCCCAATTTAGTACTTTGTTGGTG